CTCAGATAGTCAACAGCCCACCTATTCTTCTTTTTCACTCTTGGAAAGAAGGGTTGTGAAACATCGATATGAAGATTTTTTATTCAGATAGTCTGTATGCTGCCCGTGGTAAGGTTCTTTTTTCTGTGGGACCGAACTATCCTAACTCAATCTCCGCATAGATAATCGTTCCTAGTCTATTAAAACCATGTTTGTTGGCTTCTTATTGGAGCCTTTAATGTGTGGTGATTTTATAAAATTGCACGACAGTCTATATTAGCCAAAAGTGTGGAAGTATGTTTTATTTCCAAAATGCAAATACGAAATTCTACCTCCAGGTGTCAGAAAATTCTTTGATCAGTAGTTTTCCTGAAATTGTTGGTGCAAAGACAACAATGAGGTTCACAGTGGAAAACTGGCTCTATTGATTGAGTGATTTTTGAAAAAAGTCTTTATGGTTTTCAGGTGAACGATTCCGTAGGGATGACTAAATATCGTAAAACTTATTGGTGGCTATAAATTATCTCCCCTTACATCCACACTGAATGCAGTTTGGATGATGTAAACGATGAGTTTTGTCAGAGCAGTCTGGTTCGCTGTTGACGGTGGGACCATGCGGTGTCGTTATCCTATCACGATGTTTTTATACTGAAGTCAAGGAGCTCAAATAAACATGTTTTTCTGACCAGTACTAATTTCAAAGATACATTGTTTCACTTAGAGACCTGTCACCTCTAACGAATGGATAGACATAAATATGTTACCCATTGAATTGGTCATTGGGAAATTCGCATTCCCCTCCGCAATATGTGTTCATTTGGAACTGAATGGATGTTAAAGATAAGAGGTGGTTGTGAAGATGTTATTATAGATGCGAAAATGAAGCTTGTATTTGAACAGGATGAGATAACGTAGGACATATGTGAGTATAGCAGCAGTATTCATCCTGAGGTGGCTTGGGAACTTACCTAGTTATTTATGTTGACTCACTGCGAAATAAATCCTGAAAAGTTATAGTCGTTGAAATGATCTCTCAAAAAGCAGGGATTTCAGTTATTTCTCAGAGAAGACCTTTCAAAGTTACGTATAAATGTCGTCATGTTTCTATCTGACTACTCCCTTAAATCTCTCAGTCCACCTATATTACATTTCGCATCCCTCGTCAGAAAAATCTAGTAGACTAGGTTATGTAATGCATGCTCTAGACATATCAGTTGATGTAGCCCCATCGGTTGACTTACCATCTTTGTTTAACATACTCTACACCTAGCCTCATTATTATTGCACCACGTGCACTGAGCGAAGACATCAATAGCTAAAAATGACTAATATATTTCATATCTTCTAATTTTAGGGTAGTGAATTTTGCAGTGAATTCCTGCATAGAGATATTCGAACATCATGCCATTTATACAACTGTGTTGTAGAATCTCATTTATGTAGTTGTGAATTCGTTTTTTTCTTTTCTAAAAGCAATTTTGATGTCGAATTTTAGGTAGGCGAGTGTTTTGATGTCTCGTATAGATTTGAAAGTATCTCGAAAGTTCTATTTTAGAAAATAACTTCTTAATATTTATTTTTTATCACTCCACCTTAGAATCGAATTCTAGTTCTTAAATTATTTAATAATATTTAAAAAAAAATAATTTGTGTCTAAATCACTGGAATAAGGAGTCTACTCTGATGACGGCGCAACCTATAGAGAGTATTGTTTATGAAGGCTGGGCTGGATTTTTTATTTTCAAGAAAATATTAGGGGCGTTAATCGGTAAACACTTTTAGAGATAGAGAGAGACAAATTTGTCCTCCCTTAGTCAGTCAGTCACTTTATCCAGTTTGCTATAGCAATAGTAAACTTTGTTACCGGACGTTTACCTGTCTTATGTTGAAAGCTTATCCTTTGATTTAATTTCTAAATTGCCTTTCTTCTATAGGAGATATGTAGATGATATCATTTTGATATGCGATGATCATGAAGATGCGAGTCGTCTATTAGACAGACTTAACTCTGTACAGAATCATATTAATCTTACATGCGAGGAAGAAATTCGCGACCAGCTAGCATTTTTAGACATACTTCTGAGTCGAAGAGGTGATGGTTCAATAAGACGATCAATGTGCAGATAAGCCCACTTGGACAGGGCAGTACCTTAATTTTCACAGTTTCTGTCCATTACAGTATAAGAGAGGCTTAGTGAAATGTCTATTTAAGAGGATTCAACGTATTTGTATTTATACGGCTGATGTTATAGACAAAGAACAAAATATTGATGGATACTCTTGTTGAAAACGGATATCCTTTAAAATTTCTAAACATGTGTAGAAGTCAATTAGTCTGTAAACCTACAATCCATACTGCCCCTAAGAAAAATGTTTTCATCAAATTACCATATAACGGGGAAATAAACAGTAAGACTTTGAAACAAAGGTTGAATTCGATCATCCGTAGAACCTGTTATGCAGCCCAGCTTGTAATTGTCGAAAAAGCTAAAAAAATATGCTCCGCTGCAAACCTCAAAAGTGCACAAGTGATTATGATTATTATGTGTGTGGACACATATACATAGGGAGGAGTAATCGCGCTTTGCATGTGAGGGTGAGAGAGCATATCCCCAAATGGTTAGAAAAACAAATGAATTGTGACAAGCCAATAGATGCAGGTGTCAGACTACCAACTTCGTCTATAGCCAAACATCTAATCGAGATGAACCATAATACTGATGTTGACATAGCCTTTAAGGTCATCTATAAATTATGTTCACGGGCGCTTACTGAAATACACTGAGGCTATAGCTATTCATAAACTTTTATTACTCTCAAGTCTGTGTGGAGGTCAACATCACTCAGTATAAAAATGAAAATAAGATCCGGATTTTCAACTCCAATGTGAAGTCAGTGCCACTTACTATACGAATCAGAGACTTGGTGCATCATAAAGAGCATCTTGAACGAACTTCAGACCTTCACTAACAGTTGTCTTCGCTCATTACTCAAGATCAGATGGCCGGCCAGAAAAGATCACCAACAGGAATCTCTAGCAATGAGCTAACCAACCCAGCAGGAACCGATTGTGCAACAAATAAGCAGGAAGAAATGGAGATGGATTGGCCATACTCTGAGGAAACCATCAAGTGACATCACTAGACAAGCCATTACTCGAGTGGAACCCGAAAGGGAAACTGCGAGTTTGTTGTCAGTGTGAGGGTGACTTGGAGGAGGTGATGTGAAGAGGAGATGAAAGCATGTGGGAAGACTTGGAGCGAGGTGAAAACGTTGACAGAGAGCCGAACGCAATGGAGACGCGCAGCTAAAGCCCTATGTTCTTTTAGGAATTAAAGGAAGTAATAATAATTACAATTTATCTATTAATTGTCTTAGATGGAACGTTTAGATGAACATGTCCTTTTTCTCAAGACATGAAGCCTACAGATTTTGCGTGCACGCAGTGGAAACCTCTAAGGTGTTATTCGCAGCATTTGTCCAAATCATTGAAGTTTGTCTCCTAAGATTCGACATCAAGTGTAGAATTATGATTATTTCCCTGGGTTCTGAGTGGAACATAAGGCTTCAACAATGCATCTTCGCTTTGTTCTGTTTTCTGCCGTCCTCTTAGCTGGATCCACAATTGCCTATAATCTCTGATCTCCTCCACGTCGCCCTAGGACGACCTGCTCGTCGCTTTCCATTGGGATTCCACTCGAGCTATGGGCTGGCGTGCGATGGTGTGCGTCGGTGGCACAGCGGTTAGGACTCTCGCCGACCATGCACTTGGTCCGGGGTTCGAGCCCTCGTCGACGCACACTTGATATCTATGATCGGCCTTCGAAATTGGGGCTACCGATATCCATGCTGAAAATTCCATACTTGTACCAAAAACAACGGTGTGGAATCAAGATGTAATCAAAAGTAAAAAAATAAATGTCATTCGACGGCCCCCTCATCGTATACCCGGTCCACTATCATTTTCTCCTAAATATCTGCTGAGCAATCGGTTTTTGGTTGGTTTGTTCTCAGCCAGAGTTTCTTGTTACTACTTCTTTCTGGGCATTTGATCTTTAGTATGGAGCCAGCGAAGTGGGGATAGCTGTTGATAAAATCCTGCAGCCTGCTGGAAATCCTTTTCGTGACAACAATGTTGTCGAATATACAAAATAAAATAGCTAGGGAATAACAAAATGTGAAACATCCTAAAGCCCGACCGAAAGCTGCTACCTTGACGTGGTGGTCGGGCTTGAACACCGCAATGACCTAATCAAGCTATACTGGCTGAGACTTATGTCTCTTGAGGTTCTACCATGCCAGGCAGGTTGTTTGGAAAGCGGTTAAACAAAAAGCAGCTACCTCATCCAATACCATGATCCAAACAAATTCACAAAATTTCATGCCGGATCGGCCGTGGCCCGGATTAACAACGACCGCGCTTCCTGCTGCCGTGTCACAGGGCGGGAGTGATAAGTATGCTACTGAGGCACACAAAACAACAAAGAACGAACAAAAACAGGCCGCGTGTGACCGGCCACAAGCAGTTGTCCCCTGGGCTCTGCGGTCACACAACCAACTTCCACGGTGTGGGCAGCCGGGAAGTAACAATCGCCCTCACAATCCAAAACGCACACAAACAATCCAATCGTTACTTCATATCATCTTCAAGAAAGAAGGCAACTGCAGCACACTCTAATGATTTTGATATACTAAGTGATATCTGACAAGATCTCGAGCCAATAAAGTGCATTATCGCTAAAACTCTGTCATCACAAAACTTTTGTAGCACAGCACGACGCTACATACTGACCATCTCCCTGTCTATTATACTTTAGACACTTTTTCCTATCAAGTCTGTATAATTCTCAATATTGCCGAGAAGTGTTTCTTCATTAGTTTAATCAGTGTCAGTGATATCAATCCTTTTTATTTTAACTGTTTTTCATTGTGTGCTTTCCAATGAATTGATTAACTATTTTGTATCACATTAATTCATAGTTTCCTATATATTGTGCTTTATTTGAATATTTTTAATCTAGCGTAACTGGAGTGGATGTGATTTACAACTCTCCTCATTGAATTCATCTGATAATGATAATCTTCCAGTCAGTTCACAAATGATAATAAAAACTAGTGGAAATATGACATCAGCTTTACATCCAATTCTAATAGAAGCATTCACATTGAATACACCGTCTATATTACCACCAATATTAGATATATTTGATACAGCCTATAATGAATCATTATCGTTAAAAGATCGTCTTCCTACTGCCTTCATACCTTCATTAAATGGTTCTAATAATAGTTTAAATATGATTTCATATCATAGTCCTTCTGCATCATCATCTTCTTCTACTATTACCACTTCATCATCCTCTGTTCATCATGCTTTCATTCATTCACATACTCCAAATATGTCATTGACGACTACTACAATGAATCGTAATACACCGACTACACCGAAATCAGTTATGTCACAACGATTGCCTTCAGGTTTGTTATTGGATTCTAGTCCTGGTTATGGTGGTAGTAGTAGTAGTACACACTTAAGATGGCGGAATTCTTCGGGAGAACCAACAACTCGTCCATTGAGTATTGCTGGTGGTTTAGGACCAAGCGGTGAACCTATCGTCATTGAAGGCGGTAAGTTAGTTTAAAAAATTAGATTGACAATATCTAGCACTTATGATTTTATGTATATATATATATATATATATATATATATATATATATATATATATAATTTTCCGCATGTCTTAGGAACCTCTTAATTTCGAGATTCTGACAGATTTCCAACGAATAGTGCACTTGTAAATGTAGCAAATGCTCTGAGTGTCTGTAAGTATGGTATATGCTTTGCGCCGTCTAAGTGCAAAGTACTGTTACAAGATTGGCAGGAGCCTGTACCTGCACTCACTCTTGCGGGTGAATCGCTTGAAGTTGTTGATAAGTTTGTGTACCTGGGTAGTTGTGTGAGTGCTAGCGGAGGGGTGACGGATGAGATTTCCAACCGTACAATGAAGGCTAGGGTGGCATACATCAACTTGAGCCACCTATGGCGCCGTCGCGACGTTAGCCTGGCTGTCAAAGGTCGGGTATACAATGCTTCGGTGCGGGCTGCGCTGCTCTACGTCTGTGAAACCTGGCCTCTCCGAGCTGAGGAAGTGCGGCGACTCTGCGTGTTCGATCACCGCTGTCTCCGCAGGATTGCTTGCGTTCGATGGTTTAATCGCGTGAGTAATTCTGAGGTTCGGCGGCGTGTGTTTGAACACAGTGGAGATCACCATTCATTGAATGTCGTCATCTGGAAACACCGGCTCCGGTGGCTTGGACATGTGCTCCGAATGTCACCCCAGAGGCTTCCGTACAGGTGTCTGCTCGCTAGCCCTGGGACGGGACGGGAAAGGCGGAGAGGTGGTCAGTCCATGACGTGGCGTTGTGGGATGAAGGATATTTGTACTAGATTAGCATCGGTTGGTGTGTCACGACTCCCTGGTTGAGGTCCGAGAGATAGCTCAAATCGATGGCTCGAAACGTTATCGGATATGGCCAAGAATCGTAATCAATGGCAAATACGTGTTGCAATTTCCATCTTTCTTCCCTTTCCGATGATAGTTAATGAATACTGTTTGAACTTGTTAAGCATGACTGTTTTCCTTCCAGATGAAGTTCCTTATCCGTTCTCTACTTATATGTATTTTTTCTTTTCCTTCCTTCCTTTTTTTGATCTATGTTGTTTTATTATTATTGTGTGGCGCATCCTTCTTGGTGCCATATTGTACCAAGTTTTTTATGCGTTTAAATAAATAAATAATAAATATCTCTACTTTTGTGTATCATAAATGTGAAAATGTCGATGTCTTGTATATTTTCAACATTTAATACACCACATGGAGTCTGACGTCATTGCATATATATATATATATATATATATAGGTTTTTGAAGTAGATAAAGCAGTTTAGTTCGAAATATGGGTTGAATTAGTCTCTGCTACAGGCTTGTTTTTCTCCCCACTATTCTATTGACAGATTCGTTTTCGTTTAACAGATCTCATGTAGTATAATGTCAATCAGGCCTCATTAGTATTTCTTTCATTATTAATCGTACATAGATCAGCTAAATTTACACATAGAGGAGGAGGAGCAGATATCGATTATTGGGTCATCATTGCACTTCATTGTGTCATCATCTCATCATATGGCATGTGTAACACATCTTGTGATCAATTGGTGTATTATTATTATTACTACTACTACCTCTATAGAGAGGTAATCTCTGATTGATTATGTTGTAAACCATGTTTCTACATGATCGTATGCAATTAAACTAACATGTTGATTGTTTCTATTTTGTTGTAGCAAGTGGTATTCACTTGATGATGATGAATAGTGTGCATAAAATTATTTTGTAAAAAATTGTTCTCATTTAAGGTGTTTAGTAATATTATCATTTACCTTAGAAAGGGAGAAGTGTATGCTTACGATATTTCTGTAGGGCATGATCTGATCCTGTCTGTTTTCGACATAGAACTTTGCATTGATGTGAACCAGTTCAAGTCGCCACATTCCCGCCTTGTAGCACACAAAGCAAGAGACGGAAGTAGAAGAAGTGCATAATATAGACAGTAAATAGAGGTGTGAGACAAAGGAATAGTTATAACGAAGAACAATATAGTTTCATTGGAAATCATAAGTCACGAGGAGTGGATGCATCTGCGCCAGCCATTGAGAACGATTTTAGGCCATACCACCAATTGTTTGTAGCCATTGGATTTGCTGTCCCAAGGAGACCAACCAGAAAGTCTACAGCTATGTGACTGGCTTAAACTAACTGTTGTGGATTTCATTGACTGATGAAGCCATGTTTTGGTTTGACCACCTCTATCTCTTCTCCAGCCTGACCCTATATCAGCTAAGATTGCTCGTCGAGGAAGGCGATGACTAGGCAGGCATGTGTGAGACACATGTCCTAACCATCTCAGTCGATGTAACTTCACAACCTCGTCGATTGATTTCCCCTCCTTACGTAGCACTCGACGTCTAACCTCAATATTGCTCACCTTATTATACCACCTCACACGGGAGATAGAACGCAGGCACCTATGTTCAAAGACAGCTAATCTTTTCATGTCTTCTACTCTCAATGGCCAGGTCTCACAGTCATAAAGGAGGACGGAACGGACTGATGAGCAGTACACTCGCCCTGATCTAATCCAACCATGCCTACGTTATCAGCTTATTGAATTCCAGCTTTTTGATTCACTTACTTCATATATACATGCAGTCTGACTAAAATTAATTAATGTTATCGAAAGGAGAAAATGTGGGTTTTGGATTAACAAAAGAAATCGCCTAATTTTATTTCCAGTATTAAAAAAGATGTGTATTACACTATCTAAACTATTATAATTTTTAATGCTTTTTAAATAAAATCTGTAATGATATTCATTTTCACTTAGTGTGTAACTAATTAATCGCCGTAGTTATCTATGACTTGAAGCATAAACGCAAATTGAAATATGTGATAAGTGCACGCCTCATGTGCCTTTGTTTTTTCTACCACAAAGGGAGTTATCAAGATTCCAGTCTGGGTAGTTCTTTATCTAGTCTGGTTGGTCGTGGAACAGATGATTTAGCACAATCGATTGCGGAAGCTATTCAGGTAAATATGCATTTTTTTCTTTAAAGGTAGTTGTAATTTTTTTCTATTCCTTTATGTTCCCAGTGGAACACTGGGCTTCAAGCTAGAGCCAGCTTGAAGTTTCGGTAGCAGTGGTACTTACTTTTACGGGATGGAGTTGCTAGCCTCATGCCCAACCTTCCCTAATGACCAGTCTTATTAATTGCTTAGAGAGGTAAAGGAGCGCATCATTTAGGGTTCGAACCCGGAACAACTTGAGTGGTTGGCGAGCATTCTACCGCTATGCCACCGACACGCAGTTGTAATTACAAACTCATTTTTTAGAGCATGGAAACTGGACAGTTATTTTTACAACTTATAGGGAAACTTTTTTACTAAATGCTTTTAAGTTTTGACACTAAGCACATTACCATTTCTAGCAGACTAGGTATCGGTTTATTATATGATTTATTCTCAATCAGTCGAATCCCTCTTGCTCGACTGAGGTTTGGGAGGTCAGGTAATATCACTAGCTCTCCTATGATGAGTAGTGCCCAACTAATAGATACTACCTTGACGTGGTGGTTGGGCTTGCACATCGCGATGACCCAACAAGCTACACTGGCTGGAACTATTGTTCCTGCAGGTCCTACCATACCAGGAAGGTTGTTAGGATAGCGATTACACTAAAAGCAGTCACCGGTATACTGTAAGAATCTTTACACTATGCTGGGGGTCTGTGGGCGAAGTCGTACTGCTGGAGAACAGGGGTGTAACAGCAGTGAGGTTTTTCTCTTAGATGACCAGCATATCAGCTATGCTGTCTCTCCACTCTGGAAAGAGGTAGTTAGAAAAGGTACAACCCGACTTTCCCTGCGATGATCAGTAACAGGCGGTAAGTTTACTAATACGGAACGAAACCAGGAAACCAGTTCATACAGGCCGTGTGTGACCGACCTCAAGCGGTTGTCCCCTTGGCTGTGCGGTCACGCAACACTAACCCTCTCTCTGTTTTAGGTACCTGAAGAATCAACCAACTTCCACGGTTTAGGCAACCGGGAAGTAACAACCACCCACACACTTCCAAAAGCACACGAAGCCTTCCTGAGTATCATTCTTCTTTACCCATATCACCTTCATCATCTAACCTTTCTACTACAGTCGGTATTATTCTTCAGGTTAGTGAGGCACCTTCACTTCACTCTGTGACCACAAGTAACGATGAGAGCCACAGAAACACTCCAGATAGCCTTTTAAAGCCACGTCGCCAACTTCATATAGGAGCATTTAACGTCAGGACCTTCTGCCAAATCGGATAACTGGCATCTAGAATTATGGATGTATGTTGTGTTTCGGAGACACGCATACAAGACTCGAGTGTGGTCATTCACTTAACCTCACCCCGTCAACAAGGTGGATCTGCAAAATTCACTTTAAGAGTGTCAGGAGACCCGTCAGCTAGCTAACGAGGACTCGCAGGTGTAGTGATAGCATTGAGTGTTGGGGCGGAAAAATGACTGCTTGAGTGGATCCAGTAGATAGTCGTATCTGTGCGGTCCGTCTGAATGGGTCCGTTAAAAGAAGGAAAGATGGCGCCACCCGTCGTTGCTTTTTGGCAGTCTCCGCTTACGTCCCAACAGACTGCAGTTCAGATGAACTGTTTAATTGGTTGCAAAAAGCAAGACGTTCAGATATAATTGTTTTAGCAGCCGACTTCAATATGCCGAAATCGGGAAGTTGTGCCAGAGTGAGAAGTATGTAAGTGGTACGTATGGAGTTCTCTGATGAGTAGTGTAGCTCATTACTTAGCCTATAAAAATAAGCAACATGATTGTTGAGTTTTAGCGAATATAAATATTCACTCCTTTTGTTGTACAGCACAAACAATATCAACTCCAGTCATTGGGATGTACTTATATATGTGGGTTGGTTTTTACTAATATATATATATATATATATATATTCAATTTTCTTCTTTTCTGTAGGATGAAGATATAAATTGGAATCCCGATAAATGTTCTAACAGCATGCAACAAATGTCAACTGTCAATAACCGTGGTGTATGGCAGTTCAGTGTTAAATCAACTGTCCCATCTGGTACTGTTGGTTCAGCTGGATTCCGACCATCTGTCGTACCTGCTGAGTCTGTCTTATCAGAAGCTGATTTTCCAAGTCAAGATACATCACCTTCAGCTGTAGACAGTTTTTCGCCTAAATATGAATCTTCAGAGCAAATCATTTCTCAAACTGCAATGAGTAATGAAAAACTGGAAGATGAAAATTCATTGTCTAATAATAGTAATAATAATCCAGTCGGCAAAATATTTCAAAGAAAACGTGGTAAAAAGTCTAAAGTGAAACGACGTCATTCTTCTATGCTAGAAAAAGAATTGAATCCACCAAATTCATATCCTTCTGGTTACGAGAGTTTAGGCACTTCACCAATTGTTCAAAATCCTTTAGTATATTCAAGTTCTTCAAATGTATCCGCCATTTCATTACCTGGTGATGTTAATGTTCATATGTTCAATGGTGGTAATAGTTTTGAGGATGGTCCATCAAATTATAATGCAGCAGCACCATCATCCTCACCACCACTCACTGTTGACGATAAAAATACCAACACAAGTGGTGAAACATTTCAGTCCGAAGAGAAATTGAACCTTGAAATGGAATATTCACATAAATCAGATGATCAAGAAAGTGATCAAGTTGATGATGACGATGTTCAGTGAGTGAGTAGGAAGGTGAAATACTCTTCAGATAGTATTGAGATTTTCGTAATCAAGTCAGTATGTAAAATACTTACTCTCTTTGGTCAAACGTTCACAGGATTTATGTATCATATTTCAAAGAAGCATGTGAGTGTTGTTTTTCTCACGGAAAGTTATTATAGGTTATATATAGTAGTAAATTTATTCACTTTGAGAATAGCTAATTACTATTATTATTTCTCGCTTGGGTTCCCTCTTCAACTGCACGTCTCCACCTGCTTCTGTCTACTGTTGTACTTTTCACCTGTATCCATGTTAATCCATACTCTTTCAACTCCTCTTCACACGATCTCCTCCATGTCACCCTTGCACTGACGTCTCACTCGCCGCTTCCCCTTCGGCCTGGTTCCACTCGAGCAATGGCCTGACGCGCGCGCGACGTCACCCAGCGGCGGCCTCCTCAGCGAGTGTCCAATCCATCTCCACTTTCTCCTGCATATTTGTTGGTTGTTGATTGGTTCTTGTTTTGTTTGTTCCCACAGTTTCTTGTTGGTGATTCTTTCCGGCCCGGCCATCTGATCTTCAGTATAGAGCGATAGTTGATAATCGCTGGTTGATGAAGGTCTGCAACAGGCTGTTGGAAATATTCTTTGTGACCCACCCGCCAAGTTTCTGATCCGTATAGAAGAACTGACTGACTTGACGTTTGTTTGTATTGAAAATCCGACTGAATTTTGTTGTTGATGCTGAGTGACAGCGGAAGATTTCCAGATTGGTTTCAGGTTGATGAGTGAATGTGTTTCTCGCCTTCCCGATTCTCGCTCGATTTGACATGCTCGTCCGTTCCGACTGCCTGTAGTTGAGACAATGCTCCCTAGATAAGTGAGTGAATGAAGTTACCTCTTTCAAATCCCTCCCGTTGATGGTGGTTAACGCTGGATGTTGCTTCTGCTGTTGTTACTGTTGGTTGGTTATTTTCATAACCTCCGTCTTATCTATGTTCACCTGGAGTCCTGGAGGAATATCTAATAGATTCCCGTTTTTATAGCTGAACAGTTGCTTTATTTTCTTGTTGTTTAATCACCTAATTGTAAATATTATTCTGTATACTTCTTGTTTATCGAACCAACTATACATCGTGATACAATGACACTAATTCTCGTTGTTAGTGACAGACATCAGTCTTGAATAACCTAACCACTAACATTGTCTTATATTGAAATAATGGAGAAGATTTGTAGCTCAGGCGGATGATTTAGAATTATTCGTGTTCTCTTAGTTGCTAGTTCGTTTAATTGCGAAGCTTTTGTCGTCCTTCTGGACAATATCCCCCCTACAGCACAAATTTCAACATAAAATGAACCGATTTAAATTTGTATCTCCTGAAAACCATCTTCGTGAATGTCTTAATCAGGAGAACTAACACAAGAAATATGGAAACATAAGTGTATAGAAAAACGCACACAGACGAAATATTCACCTATAGTAGTAATAATTCAATTACCCACAAAAGAAACCGTGTGCAGACATTGTTTAAAAGAGTTCAAACATACTGTAGCACTCCAGTATTGAAGAGAATGGAGGAAAATACCCCTACTAACCGTCTTCAAAAAGAGGAATGCATATTCTCTTAATTTCATCAAAAAAGTGTTTATAATGGAGTCACAACACCAAGAAGAAACCATCATCAAAGACTACAAGAAAATCCATCTTACCATTTATAAAAAATATCTCTGAAATAACAGCTAGAATACTGAAACCGTTTGATATGCATATAGCTACACAAGCCAGCCAGTTCAATCAATTCATTCGATATTGTGCAAACCGAAAGATCCAACAGAAAAAGAAGATAAAATTAGTACCATTTACAAAATAAATTGTATGAACTGTAACCCATTACATCGGTCAAGTCGGACGTCCCCTCCGATTCAGAATCCAGGATCACAAATCAGCTGTGAAAAGACATGATATATATTCTTTCATATCAATGCATGTAGATAATTATGGACATCAATTTGCTCGGGATAATGTCGAAATTTTAAACAGAGGAAACACTAAAAGTGCGGACAGAAAATTTCTACAAGCTTGGTACTTAAGTGAATCGGGAATTAACAAACATTAATATAGACTAAGTTTACCAACTAATAAAAAGTAAATCACGTGATGAAAAAGTTCAAAATCCAAGTCAATCAAAAATGATCAATACAGATGTAAATCGACTACCAGTCACGAAGATGGTCGCGAGGAGACACAATGGTCTTGTTTGTTGAGAATTTAAATCAGTTCATTTTATGCTGAAACTTGTGCTAAAGATGTTCAGTAGGACAACGAAAGTTTTACAGTTAAACCAACCAACTCAGAGAACACAACTAATTCCAAAAATTGTCTTATATTCTTAACTATAGGTTTAGTGACTTATTTGTTAATTTTATTTTAGTGAGTGCTCAATTGTAGAAGTAACTTTCGTTGGTCCATTCTGTGTATCCTGTCAATAGATATATAATTATTATTATTATACCCTTTAATTCCTAGAGGAACATAAGGCTTCAGCTGCACATCTCCATTGCGTTCGATTCTCTGCCAACATTTTCACCTGGCTCCACATCTGCCCACACGCTTTCATCTCTTCACATAACCTCCTCCATGTCATCCTTGGACGAACAACTCGCCGCTTCCCTTTCGAGTTCCACTCGAGCATTGGCTTGTCTAGTGATGTCACTTGATGGTTTCCTCAGAGTATGGCCAGCCAATCCATCTCCATTTCTTCCTGCCTATTTGTTGCACAGTCGGTTCCTGGTTGGTTCGCTCGTTACCAGAGATCTCTGTTGCTGATTTTTTCTGGCCGTCCATCTGATCTTGAGTATTGAGCGAAGACGACTGTTAGTGAAGGCGTGTAGTTTGTTTGATGTGCTTTTTATGACATGTCTCTGATCCGTATAGTAAGTGGCACTGACTTCACATTGGAGTTGAAAATTCGGATGTTATTTTTGATGCTGAGTGCTGTTGACCTCCACACAGACTTGAGAGTAATGAAAGCTTGTCTTGCTTTCCCGATTCTGGCTTTGATATCCTCGTCAGTTCCGCCTGTAGTTGAAACGATGCTTTCCAGGTGGTTAGGTGTATTAGGTTGTTTTTTTCAGATTCCTCCCATTTATGCTGATTGTCTGTTTATTGTTGCTGTTGGCCAGGAGTCTTCATCACCTCTGTTTTCTCTACGTTTATCTGAAGTCCTATCTTTGATGCTTCTTCTCCCAACTTGTTGCTTTTCACTTGCATATCTTCCAGTTTGTGGGAAATCAGACATATATCATCAGTGAAGTCGAGATCCTCCAAGTTTTTTGTGTTAGCCCATTTTATGCCTGTTTCCTCATTCCCCGCTGTCTGTCCATTATCCAATCTACTGCAATCAGGAAGATATATATATATATATATATATATATATATATAAGACGATGGTTTCAGTCTATGCTTCCTGAATATGTATAATGTGAACGAGCTTTCTTCTCATTGCCTGATGATTGTGGGGTATTTCTTACATCGATTTTCATCACATAAAACAACTTTCAAAAAAGTATTAAAGGAGAAAATTCCTATAATTGTCAAGAATATGGTGGAAATAATAAATGTAATATGTTGAGACTGGCTAGCTGTGTTGACGTTTATTCAGTAGGTTATGAAGGACATATTTATGTTTAAGGGTAAGCAGAGTAGGTTCCTTAATCTTTCTCTATTTAGTTCGAAGTCAGATATGTAAATTACCAACGCCATAGTCCTTCCTAATACAAAGAAATCTAGTGTGTAAAAGTCTTAACAATCCATATGATTATAGTTTTCAGGATACGAATATCCTGGGTTGATTAGAGTTGTTTTCAGACGCATCGATTTTCAAATTTTGATTATATATATATATATATATATATTCATATTACTGTTGTGCTTCACGCTTTGACTCACTTTCCTACCCAGAAGTTTTAGCTACCAACATTGTGCGAAAGTGGGTTAACTTGGTATGAAGACACATAATTAGATCATATTTCTCCGTCGTTGCAGTCTGACTAATTACTGCTGGATAGACTTAACACGGTCATACAAACTCACTGAATCTTTTAATCTTTATGAAATATATGATGGCATTTGCCAAAGATGAGAGTTGCCAAAAGAGTCTTTTATGCCTGCGCTACGATTTCGTCAACTATATTAGTCGTTCATCAGCGCTAACACAACTTCTTAAGTCAAGTATGTGAGTTGGTCAACACACTCAGTCATTTCACTCTTTATTCTCTAATTAGGAGTGTGCAGACCACTTTTTCATCAGTTACATCTTGCATTGAACAAGGAGAACATACCTGTGATTTGCGCTCAAAGTGTTCAGAAGAACTGCATTGTATCAGTCTTCACGTGGAAAAAAATACGCAGTTTTCTTTCCCTAAATCATCACCACGACATTTCTCTTATAACACGACACTGAAGTTGACAGAGGTTATATCCACCACCATAATGAAGTGAAATAAGAATAATGATAGTGGAATTCCTTGGCAATTACTATTGATGCACTCTCCAGGTTTTATATAACTATAAGAGTGCTTTGATCAGTACTCCCGTCATTTGAAGAGAAAGCTACTGCACTTCTCGATAAGGAGTCTACTGCCACCTTCATGTCAGAAAAATATCTGCCAAGTCGTGCTAGTATGTCTGGTCAAAATTGTGTCGAAGTAACTACAATGCACGCCTGTCAGTGTATGAAGCCTTTTTGATCTTCTCGAGTTCATTTCTACTGAATTCCGCTGAGTATTCGTAGATGTCAGTATTCACACTGTTATATTATTCTTGTTCAGTATATATATAATTTTGTTTTTTTTTCCTCTAAATTTGCAGACAAATTTTATGCGAATAAAAGGTGAAATATCAACACCACTTCATCCCGTCACTCCTAATATGCGTATATTCATCTCAGACCCGCTGTTGTTTTTTTCTGTTCACCCATATTCTAGGATGATTCATTCTTTTCATGTTAAGATCCAGGTGCTACTTTTAACAATTATCTGTTAATTTGTGTACGATTCTCTCATTTGACCACAGACACAGACAACTAAATGCATATATACACTGACATTATAAACGGATGAAATACTTTTCTTTTCGGCCTTTATTGTAAGACTGGCAGGACGTTGAATTTTTGTGCTACATTTAGCCAATTTAAATCTTTTCCCTTCTGTTTTTTTGCTAAAAACTCATTGCGAATCCTTGTGTTGTGTGTATTTCTTTTCTTTAAAGGTATTTTCGTATCTTATTATATGCTGAATACATATAAAATTGTAAATTTTTGCCTGAGACCGCTTTCTTCATGAGTTCAGTTTGTTTTGCTCATCGCATGACTATACACAGAATTTTCTCTCTTCCTTTTTGTTGTTAAACACACCATGTATAAATCAGAATGTCGGTAGCCTTAATATGACTCAAGATGATATCTACAGAATATATAAGAGCCTACTTATGAAAACACTTGACGCTTAATATTAATAATTATTAATATTGTTCCCTTTATCTTTTCTACTTCACTTCCTTGTTTCAGAACTTGTCACTCTGATTAACCAACCATATATCATGATTTTATTACTGTGAAAATAAAACCAAAAAAGAGTCACAATTTTAATACAAACTATTCTGAATTTTACAATGCAGTTTACTGTTGTTGTTGTCGTCGCGCTTACCATTCAAAAAAAACATCCCTAATGCTACAACAAGCATGGTAGTCGTTTCTACACTTGGTTGGTATTCAGTAGACCACTCACATACATGAAATAGCTTATTCTTCTGTCACACTTACGCATAATATTCAAATTAACACGTCACGTCAAGGTAGAAAATCAGGTGAGAGTTAATTAATTCAGAATACTATACTTTTCCAGGAGCACAGAAAGAAAAAGTGACCAAAAATGGATATTAACAATGAAAACAAAATAAGATTTTGAGCATGACTAGAGACATTGTCGCGTAATCGAGTAGTATTACTTTATCCCGCTTACATATGTCAAATTCTGACTACATTTTTAGGTCAGCCGAGTAGTAACGACCATAGACACTGAATTTGAGGTTGAGAAAATTTAAGAATAAGCTCAACTAAGACATATATAGCAGGATATAAGTGATGATGAAAGCTTTACTTGCAGTATCTTCGGCTATTTATATTCAAATAGGCAACTACTTTCATTCTCAGTGTTTGCTGCAACGTCATCACGTGGTTTGTGTCAGATATTGTTGTAATTACTAATATCTGTCAAGTTTTATACACACAGAGTTCTCAACCAAGAATTTTTGTTGTACCGATAAACATTGTGTTCGCCAACTAGATTTTAAACATCTTTCGTTCAACTTTACGCTAAACCACCAGTTTCATGGTAGGTGCCAGTCTGCGATTATTGTATTAAGCGGTTAATACGAAACCGAACGCCCCAGGAATCACTGATTTACGCGTTCGGATGTTATGCTCGTTTCGCTTAACTCACAGAATGGGGAGTATATAGGCTAAGCAAGTCTGCTTCACTTAGTTACTAAAACGGGAAACAAAGCACGTGCACTGATAGGCTGCTGGGTGTTAAGCCAATGGTGCTTCCCACCTCCAAGTGTGTTGTAGAATGCAATTGCAGATTTTAACCTATTTGTAAGAACTGGCTGTTCAATGGTATTTTGAATAATCTAGGTCAAAGATTTCTGCATATAAATGACGTCAAACCGAATGAAAACGGTAGACAGTAAGTATTATTGAGCCCTGGATCTGTTTCCTGATATCACCTTCCTAAAAGCTTGTATAGGCAGGCAGTAGTTTCTCGTGAGCAGCCACCACTCAAAGGCAATAACAGGCAGTGCTATCGGCAGACCAACTTGTGTTACACCAGTTCACTCTCATCGGCCATGTAATCAGTACATCACAATACAGCGTCAATCACAACATTTAGCGAAATTCCTTAAACTTTTATGTTTCATACCAAAAGTTGAATGAACAGGGATACTTTTGTTGAAACCAAGCGTGGTAACGACGCACAATTATAACAAGAGTGTAAATCAAACAACAACAAAAAAGCACCTTGATTTTGATATACGGTACCAACATATCTCGACAACTTGTAAGATATGGCCTAAATAAACAGCTTATATAGGAATTGAAGATGTGCCTCAAAGTTTGTACAGTTTTAAATAAGAAAAGACACAAGTAATCACAATACACTTAAGTCTATTTGCTAAGTCATGGTCAGATTAGATTAAAAAAAACAATACTTTCGCAAATAATATTATTAATAGAATCACAGCTTTTAGCTGATGTCTGAAAATTATAAGCATGTTGAAGAGAATCAAGAAAAATTACGTCATATGAGCAGTGAGTACGGAAAGACTCGTATACAGACAAAGTGTTCGCACATGGATAGAGATATGCATATTGCAATGGTTGAAATGAAATCCTCTAATTATGTAAAATATCAAACAGACTGGCAGAAAATTAGATTATGAAGCTACAAAAATGAACTAATTACTGTTGGATAACAGTTGAAAACAGATAACAATAATAAGAAGAAATATATATCACAGACTTTCAGATTGCGATTCGCTATCAATTAAACATAAAGAAGATGGAGCATAATCAATGTGCATTAAGTGTGAAACTGTGCTGGGAGTAAGGGACTGAGATGAGGAATTGAACGTTGGGGGTGCAGATGATGATTCTAAACTAAGTGATGATGTCATGGAGTCTGTTAAGCTGGAAACAACGTAAGATGCGAAGAAGTCCTTCAGCCCCTGACCAAGAGCGGAAGAATCACATATGGCATTTCGGCGTCGTCTGAAACGATTACGAAGTACAGCCGGAAGATTCGGAACAGGGTCACACTTTCTAGATCCACCTACAGAACTCGCCGAAACTTCCGCAACGACACCAAGTGTTACGGGAGCTGGTGGTGGACTCGGGACAGGCGATGTAGGTGGACCAGGGGGCATTGAAGGGCGGACAAACCCAGAAGATATGCCATAGCAAGAACCTGAACTGCTGTTTCCAAGTGAAGGGGTGTTCGATGATAGTCGTTCAGGAGATGCATTCAGAGAATCTGTTGCCATACAGTCAACTCCAGTTGACTCTTCAATGCATGGCGATAACCTCGACGTATGCGAGCTCCAATTCCGTCTCCTACGTCTTACTCGATAAGTACTTGACCCACATCTTTTATTAGTTCGAGTCAAAGCGTCAGTACCTACAAAAAGAAATTAAACATCATTTAATTTTTATTAATTTGCCGTTAGCGTCGATTGGGTAAGTTGTATTTACACTCCAAAACGTACATTGTATAGAAAATTAAAAGATTATACCAAAAATGTACATAGGATTACTATCAATATTGCTTATTTATTCTGAGGGAAATAAAGACTTGCTATAACATGCAAAAGTAAGACTGCACACAGTGTATCGTTTGACAAACGAACTTCATCATCTTAAGTGAACTGTTCGCTGATGTATGCAAATGAACTAGTAACTATAGATATGATAGAGAAGATTTGTAGCTCAGGTGGATAATTTTGATGTGGTTTTGTTCTCTGAGCTGGATAGTTAGTTTGCGAAGCTTTCATCACCTTACTGGGTGACATCTTCAGCGCATACTTCAAATTGAAGTGTGCGCTGAAGATGTCACCCAGTAAGGTGATGAAAGCTTCGCAAACTAACTATCCAGCTCAGAGAACAAAACCACATCAGAACTAGTAACTATGGTTAACAATACAGACAGAAAAAAGCATGATAGATATTACTAACTTTCAGAAAACTAAATTACAAGACAGCGAATGTTGAAAACAAGCCAATTACATGCACACCCCGCTAGCGACTGTTTTTAAATCTTCCTTGCACCCCTAATATCAAACTCTAACTTCATGTAATTATTTATTTATTATTATTATATCCTTTAATTCCTAGAGGAACATAGGGCTTCAGCTGCGCATCTCCATTGCCTTCTGTTTTCTGCTAACTTTTTCACCCCGCTCCAAGTCTGCCCACATGCTTTCATTTCCTCTTCACATGACCTCCTTCATGTAATAGGAAAGTCTTTATATTATTGCTTCGAATGGCTTCTTAACTTCGGATGTCATTACAATATGTGGAAATTAAATTAATAATAACAGTTACATGACTTTAAGAGTTCATTGTCTTCACACTATCCACTCAGTTTGCTTCAATACACTAATATAGCTAACTTTATGGCTTTTCATTCACATGTTTTTAAATTTTTTGGTCGGAAATGTATTTTAAACCAGTTTATTGACGCTGTTTGCTGAGAAGTACAACGGAAAGATATGAACCATTCTATAAACTACTAACTATCCCTAAACATTCAGATGTCTGTCTGTCTGGATTCAACATAGAACTTGGCACCAAAGTGCACCAGTTCGAGTTGCCACGTTCCAAATAGCACACAGAGGTAGACAAGAAGATGAATGAAGAGGATCAATAGAGTTTGACAAGTATAAGAGTGAAACAGAATGGGTAATGGTAGAAAGGAATATGAAAGATTACAGAGACTGAATACATCTGCGCTGGCCATTGACAACGATTTTGAGCCATGTCACCTATTGTCTCCAGCCATTGATTCCTAGAGTCCCGAGGGCCCCAACCCGGGAGTCTGCATCTCCCTACCTGACTCAGTTTAACTGTCAAGGATTTCATGGATTGATGAGGCCATGTTTTTGTTTGGCCACCACTGGCTCTTTTCCAACCTGCACCTATATCAGCTAGTAATGCCCGTCGGGGGAGGCGGTGGTTAGGCATGCGCACCACGTGACCTAGCCATCTCAGTCTATGTAACTTTATAGCCTCGTCGATTGATTTTCCCTCTTTGCCCAACACTCTACGCCTAACGTCAACATTACTTACCTTATTAAACCACCTAACGTGAGACAGAGATCGCAGACATCTATGATCGAAAGCAGTCAACCTTTTCATGTCTTCAACTCGTATTGGCCATGTTTCAGAGCCATAGAGAAGGACGGAGCGAACTGCTGAGCAGTACACACGTCCCTTGGTTGATAACCGGATGTCACGCCTACGCCAGAGATGGTGTAAGTCAGCGAAAGCAGCTCGAGCTTTTCGGATCCGTGCTGAGATTTCATCGCCAATCAGTCCGTTGGTGCTAATACAACTTCCCATATAGGTGAAGTGGTCAACATGTTCTATCACTTCACTCCCTATCACTAAGTTAGGAGTTGACGTGGTCCAGTCCTGTAGCAGCATCTTACATTTTGTAGGGGCGAATCGCATGCCAAACATACGAAGATTGCTGCTCAAGGTGTTCAGAAGACTCTGCATTTTGTCAGCATCCTCCCCTAACAGGACTATGTCATCTGCATATTCTAAGTCCATAAGACTATTCCCTGGTAACAAGTCGATTCCTAAGTCGTTACGTTCAGTTAAGGATACTTCCATCAGCATATCTATGATGAAGTTAAACAGAAATGGGGAAAGTGGACATCCCTGTCGGACACCACTGGTTGTTACCAATTCAGATGACAATTCCCCATAAGCCCTTACACGACTACGTGAGTTTGAATAGAGTGCCTTGATTAGTGCAATGTACTTTCTTGGCACTCCCTTCACAGTCAGACATTGCCATAGTACCTTTCGATCCACGGAGTCGAAGGCCGCCTTCAAGTCAAGAAATATGACAATTGTTGGACGCCGAAAAGTGTGTCTATGTTCTAGAATCTGTCGAAGAGTGAAGATATGATCTATGCACCCTCTACCTGGTCTAAAGCCTGCTTGATTTTCCCTTGTCTGTTCCTCCCGAGTTCTGCTTAGTCTATGCATGATTACTGAGCCTAGGATTTTAGAGACTATGTTCGTTAGGCTGATCCCCCTATGATTATCACACGAGGACTTGTTTCCCTTCTTGAATATCGGTATAATAAGTGACTTACCCCAGTCTGATGGCACTGTCTCTGATTCCCAGACTTTGCCTAGTACCTCAGTTAATCTACAAACTAGTATGTCACCCCCATATTTAAACACCTCCGGAATAATTCCGTCGGGTCCTGCCGCTTTGCCTCGTTTCAAATTACTGATAGCTTTTGTGACCTCACTTACAGACGGCGGACCAGTGTCTATATCCCATTCGGGTGTGTTCTGGATGTCGGGGAGGTTCAGTGTGGCTGTAGGCAAGTTAAATTGTCCCTCAAAGTGTTCTTTCCAGCGTTCAAGGCGTCTATCCTGAGAGCTAATTAAGGAGCCATTTTTCTCAGAAATAGTCTCACTTATGAATTGCCTTCTCCCACCCGATTCTGTGATGAGTCTAAAGAGTTGCCTAGTGTTGCCTATCGCCGATGCTTTTTCCATCTCTTTTGCCTTTGTCAGCCACCACTTTTAGTAAGTTTCCTTTTGTGCAGCTTTCGCTCCTCATTGAATTCGGAGCTCGCTGGAATAAGTCTTCTAGCATCTATCAGTTCGGATGAGGCAGTCGATATCCAATGGTTTTTACTCACCTTCGGATTTACCTTATTCACAGATTTTACAGCTGTATCTATGGCTGACTGAATATTCTTCCAGGCTTCTCCAGGGTGAGCACAGCTGTCAAACTCAGATATGCGTTTAGCTAGTTCTTCCTCAAATACGAATTTAGTTTCCTGATCGAGCTGGGGACGTGATGGTTTTACCACCAGCTGTTTCCTACGTCCGTTCAGTCGTAAGCACACACGAGCCCGGACCAGTGCGTGATCGGTATCTACACACGTGTTCCAGAAGGAGCGACAATCTCCTACCGACCCACGCCAACGATAGCTTATTGCTATGTGGTCTATTTGTGTCCAGCGTTGGTTTGATGATGGGGGTCGCCAGGTTAAACAGTGTCTCTCCTTGTGTTTAAAGTTAGTACTTACAGGAAACAAATGATTATCTGAACAGAACTGTAGGAGACGGTCACCGTTGTCGGTTCGCTGGCACGGGACTCCGTAGGTGCCACCGACATCCTTCTCAGATTGACACAATTTCCCTACTTGAGCGTTTAAGTCACCAGCTAGAACGACTATGTCTGAGCGTTTAGCCTTTCTCACCAAACTTGACAGCTTTTGGTAGAACTCATCCTTCGTATCATCCGAACTGCAGTCAGTGGGGGCGTAGGCGGAGATTACGAAAAGGCATCGGCGAGTAGTGTAGTCCTTTCTCCTTCTTACTGACCCGTTCAGACGGACAGCACACATTCGGCTATCTACTGGGATCCAGTCAAGTAATGTCTTTTCTGCCCTAGTACTCAAAGCTATCCCTAAGCCAGCTAATCCTCGTGAACTAGCTGTGGCATCTCCTGACATCCTCAAGGTGAATTTTGAAGATTCAGATGTCGCCCAGACATTCAAAAAGTTTATTCAACATCATTTGTCACCGAAGTGCTGGACTAATTTTAACATAAATTTTTACAAAACAACAGTAGTAGAGATAAAAGAAGCACTCATCAGGGAAACGGGTGGGAGAAGACAAATCATCAGTGAGACAATCTCGGAAAAAAATGGCACTATAATTAGCTCCCAGAATAGACGACTGGATCGTTGGAAAGAGCATTATGAGGAGCAGTTTAATTTGCCCACAGCCACGCTCAACCTTCCGAGCATCCAACACCTCCCTGAATGGGATATAAACACAGGTCCTCCATCCCTAACTGAGGTTACTAAAGCTGTCACCAATCTGAAACAAGGCAAAGCAGCGGGACCTGATGGAATGACTCCAGAAGTATTTGGGAACGGTGGAGACAGTTTACTGTCTGCATTAACTGAGGTTCTAACCAGTGTCTGGGAATCAGAAGAAGTCCCATCGGGTTGGTGTAAGTCACTGATTATCCCCATATACAAGAAGGGAGACAAGTCTTCCTGTGATAATCACAGAGGGATTAGCTTGACTAATATAGTATCTAAAGTCTTAGGCTCAATAATCATGCGTAGACTGAGTGGTGCTCGGGAAGCACAAACACGAGAGAGCCAGGCAGGCTTTAGACCAGGAAGAGGGTGTATTGATCATATCTTCACCCTCCGACAGATTCTAGGACATAGGCATTCCTACCGGCGTCCAACAGTCATTATATTTCTTGACCTAAAGGCAACATTCGACTCTATCGATCGGGAAGTTCTCCGGAGATGCTTGGCTGTAAAGGGAATTCCAAGAAAATATATTGCACTGATTAAGGCACTCTACTCGTACTCATACAGCCAGGTGAGGGCTTACGGCGAGCTGTCATCTGAACTGATGACGACCAGTGGTGTCCGTCAAGGATGCCCATTATCTCCTTTTCTATTCAACTTCATCATAGATGTGTTAATGGACTTAACCCTAGGTGACTTCAGTGACTCAGGAATTAACTTGCTACCGGGGAATAATCTCGTTGACTTGGAATATGCAGACGATATAGTCCTTCTAGGCGAAGACGCTGACGAAATGCAGAGTCTTCTAAACACCTTGAGCCGCAATCTACGAATGTTTGGCATGCGATTCGCTCCAGCCAAATGCAAGATGATGTTACAGGACTGGACTACATCGACGCCTAGTTTAAAAATAGGAAGTGAAGTGGTAGAGCACGTTGACCGCTTCACTTATTTGGGAAGTACCATCAGCCCCAACGGGCTGATCTCTGACGAAATCTCAGCACGAATACAAGGGGCTCGTTTCGCATTTGTTAGTTTACGCCGACTCTGGCGTAGACGAGATGTTCGACTATCGACCAAAGGGCGGGTGTACTGCTCATCAGTCCGCTCTGTCCTCCTTTATGGTTGTGAGACCTGGCCACTGAGAGTGGAAGACATGAAAAGACTAGCTGTCTTTGATCATAGGTGCCTGCATTCTATTTCCCGTGTGAAGTGGCATAATAAGGTGAGCAACATGGAGGTTAGGCGTAGAGTTCTAGGTAAACAGGGGAAATCAATCGACGAAGTCGTGAAGCTACAAAGACTGAGATGGTTAGGACATGTGTTACGTATGCCAAGCCATCGCCTCCCTCGACGAGCAATGTTAGCGGATATAGGGTCAGACTGGAAAAAAGCTAGCGGCGGTCAAACAAAAACTTGGCACCAGTCAATGAAATCCACAACAGTTGGTCTAAGCCACGTAGAAAGGTGTAGGCTTCCAGGCTGGGGTCCTCGGGACGGTAAAAATCTATGGTTGGAAACAATTGGTGACATGGCTCAAAACCGTTCTCAGTGGCGCAGATGCATCCACTCCTTGTGACTTATGATCTCCAATGAAACTGTTTTGTTTTTCTTTATTACTCCTTTGTCTCACACCTCTACTCACTGTTTCTATTATGCTTTTCTTGTACTTTCTTCTCTTGCTTCGCGTGCTACACGGAATGTGGCGACTTGAACTTCCGCACATTTGTGCAAAGTTCTATGTCGAAAACAGACAGACAGACAGACTCAAATGAAATGCTTATAAAAATGAAGTATTTTATCCTCATAATGAAACTGCACTTGTACAACTGAGCTTATCTCAGTTAGATTCCATTTTACGAGTGTCGAATCCGATATAACTCCTCTGGAATATAAAGTATAATTATATTTTAATAGTTTACACACAATGATAAGTTTTGTTATTGGTAATATTACTGATATTAACCTCAGGAATATGACATGCTATTTCTTTTAAATTAATACTAAGGGCGAGATGACCCACATATGTTTAATTTATTTTAGAGCAATAGCCAGTGACTTACATTGTCTCTACAAGACATTCAGCTGATAGTGAGGATGAGACTCCTGAATGTATTTCAGATTAAAATAACCATGCCATATGGGTACGCATATACAGCTTACTGAATACTCGACAGAATCAGCGTAACAGGCTTTATTTGCAGACTATATTTTACAGTAGATGGACTGCCGAAAGCCAATAAGTAATTAGAATTAGATATACTATAGATGACCTTTACAATACAACGCTGGCAGGTTCATTTCTGAGATTTACAAATCTTTACTTGATTTTTTTCTAGAACACTAGAACATAATGGTTTCAACCGAATTAACAACTGTAGGTTGTTAAGTTATTAAACTCACTTGCACTTCAAACAATTAAACGTTATTTTAGTACTATTTGTTGGAGCAACAATAATAAATACATAGGACAAACTTGTGTGGGCGGGAAATGATGAGATTGAATTTCCAAAAACTGAAGCTTAGACAGCGGAATTCCGAAATATGGGAGCAGATACAATTGTTTTTATTGTTAACTAGGGAAATGAAGCTTTGTGTGAATTATAATACATATACAGAATCTTCACAATAAGTTTCGGCTTATTTCCTCGGCTAATCCCTAACCCAGGTTATGGGAAAAATGACAAAATAGGATTCAACTTGGCAAATTACCTTTTAAGGTTTCTAAAGAGCCAACTTTCATAGCTGAGACAAGAACATTTTAAAGATAAACACTCGATGTATGATCGACCCTTGTAGCGGCGGGAACGAAATCCCGCTTTGCAGCTGCTTCCTTAATTTTCAATGCCTGAGATCCAATATCCAATATCCTGATTACGAGCTAGTATAAACCAGTGATTTCTTTGAGCTCGCTTCTTGATTGTGAGGTAGAGGTTCCAGATCTTCGGTGAGCTTCTGCGTAGTAAGTCCCGACACTCGACTGCTTTAGCTCTGGTAGACTCCAGGAGGAGTGGTGCGGGGATTGGTCGAGATGTGGTTTGTAGTATGCAGTATGTTAGGACTGTATTGCTGCCGTGAATGGAGTTTGACCTAACTTCCGTTGGTCATTCGGTGTAGTCATAAAAGCAGAATAGTAATAATAATAATAATAGGTTGTAGTGTAGATAATATAGGTTGAGATAAGTGGAATAATAAAGGTGACCTAAGGAAAAGATAGAGTGAGAGAAGGCAGAATAGGTCGTGGGGATTTAGTTTGTACGCTTATTCATTGACAGTGTGGTTTCAAATTTTATGAGGATAAGCCATTGAGACACAAACCTTGCATTTCTGCATGATTGTCTAGCTTCCGCTTAAAAATCTCCAGAGATGGCGCTGTAGTCACGGCCACCGGTAAAGCGTTCCAGAGACGGCAAACACGAAGCGAAAAGAAATGTGATCGCACTCGAGTCTTTGGTCTCTGGTGTGCTATCCTTAGCGGGTTACCTCGTGGAAGCCTATAATCGCTTAATGGCAGGATGCTTTTATTTGGGTGGGCCTGGTCATTTAAGATCTTGTAGACGGTGATGAGGTCTACCCTGTGCCTACGGTAACTAAGTGTGAAAAGTCCTAATTTCTTTAGTCTTTCCTCATATGATTTGTTGCGGAGGCCGATCACCCATTTTGTCGCTCGTCTCTGGACACTTTCTAGAATGTTAGCATCCCTTTTGAGTAGCGGAGGTGCAATGATATTATGCACCTCAAGGTGTGGCCTCACATATGCCTTGTATAGCCTTAAGAACAGTTCGGGAGTGAGAGCTCCCAGGTGCCTGTGCATAAAGTGTAAAGTTGCGTAGGCTTTGGCGACGTCCCTCGAGTAATTTCCACTGGTGTCTAGCTTTTCTGTTAGAATAAGACCTAGATCACGCTCTGATGGAACACAACTCAAGTTCTGGCCACCAAGGGTGTAATTTACACTCTGTGACCTGCCGGAATGAAGCTGCACTACTTTGCACTTCTTTAGATTGAAAGGCATTCCGTTAGCCAAAGCCCAATTTCCCAGAGTTTGCAGGTCAGCCTGCAATCTATCTGAGTCTTCCGATGAGTTTGTTGCTCTCCAAATCTTTACGTCGTCAGCGTAAAGAAGCGCAGAGCAGTTTAGTTGGGGGGGGCAGGTCATTGATAAAAATCAAAAACATCAACGGCCCGAGGATAGAACCCTGAGGAACCCCTGATGCCGAGATGTTTTTAAATGTAAGCTGCAAGCCAAATTCATCTGCCTGAGTCCTCACTAGCTGATACATTGCGATGCATTGATTTTTATTAAGTAGTTGGATCTAGAAGATTAATTCTCTTTTCATGCGCATGACCAATGAATAAATATAGTTTTAAAGATTTTAATTGTTTCAGAACTACTTACAGCTCCTTATCTTATTCGTACCTGTAAGTGAGGAGATTATATTCTTAACCGAAATTGGCAGCATAACTTAATCCCATCAAGATCCAGTAGTTGGCAATATTAGGCCTTGTAGCTGTAAATAATTCCCCAAAATTATTGACCACACCAATCACTCATTGGATGCCGACCACCACTGTTTAAGTCGACTTGTTTAGCTGAAGGCTTCCGGTCAAGCATCTTCGCCATTTGGTACCCCGTCGTGTCACGTGCAGGATCACTAGCTAGCTAAGCGTTCGTCTAACGGCTTGTTTTGGTCCCGAAATATATCACGAAGTTTGAACGATCAATTATTGGCTTTTGCCTTGTTTTCGGTACACGAGAATAATTTAGAGGTTGTGTAAGATAATTCCGTCAAACCTTTAAAGTGGTGAGCCCAACCGCGAACTTCATCCACGATAAATCCACAGACAACCCCGGTGAGTTCGTTCCATTTTGTATTTGTTCTTGTACCATATATAATTCGACACCCCTCTGGCGGTACGTTCGAAATTGGTGACATTTTTGCACGTGTTTGCTCTGAAATTTATTTACTGCTTATTGTCATATAATTCTTGAAATTATGGTCCAAATCTCTAAAAAACGTGTTCGTAGAAACACAATTGTTTTAGATAGTGGCTTAAATTCGGTTATAACTGCATTACCGCCTCGTAATACAGTATCAACTACTAGCTCTCAAAATGGTTTGAGTGCAGATCTCACTCCTGTGATACAGGTGAAAGATGTTCTGTTAGAGAACTCTGAGTTCTGTAAACTAAACCTCCTTTTGAAAGATATGCAGAGGCAAGTAAGTGAAATTCAGAAAAAATTAGATCAGTTTGATAGTATGTCACTGCCAATCTCAAATACCACGGAGAGCCGTTCTGATATTGGCCAGGTTAAGTGTTTACTGGATGTAACTCAAAATAAGCTTTTGAATTTAGACCCAATAGCCTGTCTTTTAGAAAGGCATCCTAAAATATCTCCAGACAACCTAAATAAAGCTGAAAATCTGATTGACTGCTTGGCTACGGAGGTGATGAAGCGTATAACCTCTTCTCACCAAGCTATAGTTTACAACGTCCCAGACTCTCTGCCCCTGAAAACTGTAAGACACAAAATCCTGATTTGTTGCGGCATGGCTAGTGTTCCATGTGAATGCAAACGACTTCGTAAAAAGTCTAACCAGGCTAATTGCCCAATCATTTTTAAATTCAGTAATTCCCTTGATGCTAGTAAGTTTACTAAATGTCAGGATCACTTAAGACTGAATAGCAGTTATAAGTCTATAACCGTAGCTCAGGATAAAACACCGTGTCAGCGCAGAATAATGCGTAGTAATAACCTGGTCACCTCCTCTAGCTCTAGCTTTGATTTACCAAATAAGGATCGTGCACAGCAACAGACACCTAGTGCTGAAACTAGCATTCAGCAAACTACACAACAACCACACCTGCCAATGGAACTAGGAACTGATTTAGATACCAGTACCCCTGTAAACAAAGCCTCATCGAAAGATGTTAAAATGACTAGAACTTCTGCAAGTTGTTCTAAGAAATTTCCCCCCAAACGTAGTAACCTCACCACGATGAACAAATTTCGCAGGGTTGAGACTAATGATGGGGAAGAATACTTTGTATTCAATAAGCCTGCTGAGAGTAAGAATGCCAACAAACCATCACTTGTTACGAAAAACTCCTCTCGAAACATAAGTACATCTGGAGGTGTTCCGCATGCTCCACCTTATAGAAAGTCAGGCTCCAAGACTCCTAAAGTCTTGCAGCCAAAGCACCTTCCTTCACAATTCCCTTTAAGTTATAAAAACAACCCGAAGGTGTATACCGGTATGACGAATAGCAGTTGGATGGGTAGACCTTCTGATGCTATGCCTTTTAACCGCCAACCTAGGCCCAACCTGTACTACCCTTATATCCAGGAACACATGGTAAATTTTCCAGGTGTCCCGAATCACTGGTACGACCCATGGCACCTAGGACCACCTCATTGCACACCAACTCCGATGTGCAGACACCCAGTCCGACCTCCTTTTCATTCATAAATTCTTGCGGTGCTGACGCACAAATAGATTTAGGTTATGGTGACATTTTAAGCCAGTTTGTAGTATCCCGTGACTTATTCACGATATTGCTAATTAATGCACGCTCCTTAATCAATAAGATATCTGAACTAAGGACATTATTATTAGTCGCCAAGCCTACTGTAGCTCTGATTACTGAGTCATGGTGCTCATCCTCTGTACTTGATGTGCATATAGGTATCGATGATTACACTGTACACCGTGCAAACAGAGATTGCAAGCGTGGTGGAGGATGTCTCATATATATACATAACTCATTTGTAGTCAGTAAGGTGGAAGATGAAACAATGAATAATGTACCTGACTCACTCTGGGTTGTCTTACATGGAGATAAGTACAAACTTCTCATAGGCTGTGTTTATCGAGCACCAAGCGCAACAAAAGAAACTGATGCGTTATTAGCTAAATCGTTTGCACATGCATCCTCGTTTAGTGCTAATTACAAAATAATTGCAGGGGACTTCAATCTTCCAGAAGTTAATTGGCTAACTAGTTCCGGCCCCCAACGCTTCGACGAATTACTTGCCACTATAGACTGTTATGGATGGCAACAACACGTCCAGACACCTACTCGTGGGGACAACATTTTGGACCTTGTTTTTTGTCATGACACAATCCCAGTATCCACTTATGTTGGTAATAGATTTTCCAGTAGTGACCATAGAATGGTACTCTGCTCTCTGCCTTTCTCACCACTAAATACAGGAAACAAACAAGACTCAGGAAGCACAATATGTCGTAGTTACAAATATACAGACTGGGGATTAGTCCAAGAACTTATTCGACTCTGTCAATGGGATGACTATTTTACCACTGACTCCCTGGAGGCCTTAGTAACCCTGTTTTACAGGAATGTTACCCTTTGTCTAGATACAGTTGCCCCAAATAAAATAGTGAAATTAAGTAGACACCGAACTGAATATATTCCAAGGGCACACCGTAATAAGTTAAGGAAACTGAAGAAACAGTACTATTCCACTAAGGACATATCACTATTGCTCTCAATCCACGAGTCTCTTGAATCTATCAAGCGCCTACGTTCTCAAAAGGACCTCGACGAAGAGTTAACGGCACTTGAAAGTACCTCCAAAGTTTATAACTTAACGGCACTTCTTAAAAAACGAATGCAGTCAGCGAGGGAAATCCCATACTTACTTCACGACAAAGTAATCTACAATGAACCTGCCACTATCTGTGAACTTTCAGTGATTGGTTTGCAAACTTTAGTTTAGAA